GCTTGTTTCAGCTCCAGGTGATGGCTATAAATTGAACAGCCTTTCCTCAGAGTGCTTTCTTTTTTGAGACAAGAGTCTCACTCTGTGTGCACCACCTGCTAATTTCTTTCTATTTTTAGTAGAGGTGGATCTTGTTCTTGCTGAGGCTGGTCTCGAATTCCTGACCCCATGTAATCTTCCCGCCTTGGCCTCCCAGAGTGCTAGGATTATAGGTGTGAGCCACCACGCCCAGCAACTCAGCCTGTTTTAAATGTGTGACAACACTGCTACTGAGGGCGGTGGAGTCACCACCAATGGCATATGCTTTGGCCCTGGTGGCAGTAGCCAGTGGCAGTGCCTAGCCGTGGGCAGGGGTTGGCAATTGGCTTCCTAGGATGTGAAGATTCAGAGGCTGTTAGGCCCCCAGGGCAGGATGCAGTCTAGGGGGGTGGCTGGATCTCAAAATGGTGCTCTGCTATAGCTGCTTAGGACTTGGGCGGGGGTTGTGTGGGATCCAGCCTGAGTTTTCTCTCTGGAGCAATGTATCATGTGGTCTTCAGGCACCTCTTAGGGTCTGGTGGGTCAAGGGGCTTTCCCATGGCTAGGCTTGCATGAGTCCACTGAGGGGATGTGGACCATTGGGGTTCACTCACTTTCCCTGCACTGGGGAGCATCTCCAAGCTCCCAGCTGATCCCAGCTGAGCAGTCTTCCTTCCTTTCTTCCCTTAGATGTTTCCTGTCATTTCTCTGTGGAATTCCAGCATACTGGCTGGATGCAGTAGTTACCTAGGAGTAAAATTGCTGGGTCATATGGGAACTCTGTGTTTAGCCTTTTGAGGAACTGCTAGATTTTTTTCCCAAATGGCTGCATCATATGCATTATTATCAGCAATCTATGATAGTTCAGTTTCCCCCATCCTTTGTATTGTCTGACTTTTTGATCATAGCCATCCTAGTGGTTGTGAGGAAGTGCCACATGGTTTTGTCTTTCCCTGAAGACTGATAATTTTGATCATCTTTTCATGTGCTTATTAGCCATTTGGTCTCTGGTGAGCTGTCTATTCAGATCCATTGTGTGGCACTTAGTTTCGATAAACTCTTGAGATTTTGCTCCTGAGAAATGTATGTATTCATATCCACACAAAAATATTCATATCCCAAAATTTCTAAGGGTTCATGATCTTCCTGATACTTCTGTGGGTCTGAGGATTCCTACAGAGAACATGCTGTGGCAGAGGTTTTTGAGGGCATTATATATTCTTGATCTCATTCATTATTATTTACCAGCGACCTCAAAGGATTTGTACAATGATCAGGTATTTAGGAAAATGCTTTGAAAACCCTAAAACACTATACTGTTTCAGGGATTGGTATTAGCACAAATTCTGTGAGTAAGTGAGGTGAAGTGAAGTTTCTAAGGAAGTGGACTCAAGTCAGATTGCCTATATATGAATCCTAGTGTCACTTTTATGAGCCATTGTGTCACTTGGGCAAATTACTCGACCTAAGATTCAGTATCCTCATTCATAAAATGGGGATAAATAACCTCACTCAGGCACTCTTGGGCAGGTTAAGTGAGTTAATAAACAAAAGTGCTTCTCATTATGCAGGTGGGCACTTAGAGAGTGTCGAATAAATTGTTACCCTGCAGTTAATATTGTCTTACAGATCAGGCCAACCTGTGAAAATGAAAACATCTTGCTTCTTTCTGAAGAAAGTAGATATATCCTTCATTGATCTTTGAAAGGACTAGGAGGTTTTTGCAAATTGAGTCTTGTAACCTTCTCAGGAAAGAGAATTTTCCTCCCTGATGAATTTAAGTTTACAGGGTTAAAGTACCCTGTAAAGATCCTTGGTCTGTATCAGTTAATCCCCTCTAACCTTTGTTACCACTATTAGTATCTGCTTTAGAGGGATTTAAAAAAAAAAAAAACAAAAAAAACAAAAACCAATCTTTGTCCTTATCTGGCCCAGAGAAACTCAGCCTTCTAAGCAGGATGTTTTTCTCTTTGATCCCAATGTCAAGCAAGCAGAGAAGAGGGTCCAAAGGCTTAGAATGTAAAATCTTTCTAAAATTAACTAGAGTTTTTAGGACAGCCTTCAGAATGCCAAATGAGGGGGGAATCTTGAAGCGGTATAAGACTATACAGATTGGATCTTTATTTTTGAAGGAAACAAAGAGGCTAGGGCTTATATTTGGCTTTCTTAAGCTCTACATAACCACTGCCCTTAAAAGGAAAACGATTCTTGAGAAGCAACTCTTCTCTCAAAGACAATTCAGTAAGAAATTGCATCTTAGCCTGGTGAGGGGGCTCACGCCTGTAATCCTAGCACTCTGTGAGGCTGAGGTGGGAGGACTGCTTGAGCTCAGGAGTTCGAGACCAGCCTGAGCAGGAGCGAGACCCCGTCTCTACTAAAAATAGAAAAATTAGCCAGGTGTCGTGGCACGCACCTATAGTCCCAGCTACTCGGGAGGCTGAGACATGAGGATCGCTTGAGCCCAGGAATTTGAGGTTGTAGTGAGCTATAATGATGCCACTGCACTCTACCCAAGGGCAACAGAGTGAGAGTCTGTCTTAAAAAAAAAAGAAAGAAAGAAAGAAAGAAAGAAAGAAAGAAAGAAAGAAAGAAAGAAAAAAAGAAAGAAATTACATCTTTCTGGCGGTCACTTGGGTTTAGCAAATATCTGGCCGAAGAGCAGAGTTGGTGAAGGACCAGGAGCCATATTCCCTGAGGGAGCCCTTCCTGGTCCTTTGCCGTGGGTGTCCTCTCTGTGTTAGGGTCTCTCCTTTCAGTTTAACTGAAGGGAGGAACTACTGTAAGGTGCAGACCGAGGCCTGGAATTCCAATGTTTTTC